TGATAATCTTCTCCATGACTTTGCATATACATGTCAATGACACTGATCTGTAGTTTAATGCTTCGTGTCTGTCTCTTTTTTTTAAAAATGGGACTATGTCTGCTGTCTTCAATACCTCAAGTAGTCGTCCTGTTTCGATAGATGTTTTGAAGATTGTTGTTAGTAGTACACATAGCGCCTCTGCTTCCTCTCTCCGCACCAATGGAGAGATGTTATCCAGCTCCATCGCCTTTGAGGTATCTAGTTCGCTTAGTAGCCTCTTCACTTCTTCCTCGGTTGTATGTATTGTGTCCAACAGTTGGTGTACCCCACCTGTCTGTCTTTCTGGAGTCCCCTCTGTTTCCTCTGTGAACACTTCTTTGAACCTCGTGTTGAGCTCCTCACATCGCAGTCGTTTCATGTGAACTCCCCTCCTTCCTTCCTCAGCCTTATCACCTGGTTCTTGACTGTCGTTTTCCTCCTGATGTGACTGTACAATAGCTTCGGATCAGATTTGACTTTCGCTGCTATGTCGTTTTCGTATTGTCGTTGGGCCTCCCTTCTTACCTGTGTCCCATCTCTAGAACATCCTGTCTCTGTCCACCTTGTCTATTCCACGCAGTATTTTATATGTCGTTATCATGTCTCCCGTAACCCTCCTGTCCTCCAGTGTCGTCAGGCTGATTTCTCTTAACCTCTCTTTGTAGGACATTCCCCTTAACTCTGGAACTAACCTTGTCGCAAACCTCTGCACTTTCTCTAATTTCATGACGTGCTTGACCAGATGTGGGTTCCTAACTGGTACTCGCCTAATTGTGGTTGCAGGGGTCGAGACTCAGCTCCTGGCTCCGCCTCTTCACTGATCGCTACTAGGTCCTCTCTCTCTCTGCTTCCTGAGCATTGTCATACCTCGTCTTCAAGCTATGTATAGTTCCTGCCTCCACTACATCACTTGCTAGACTGTTCCACTTACTGACGACTCTATGACTGAAGAAATACTTCCTAACATCCCTGTGACTCGTAAAAGTCTTCAGCTTCCAATTGTGTCCTTTGTTTCTGTGTTCCCTATCTGGAACATCCTGTCTCTGTCCACCTTGTCAATTCCTCTTAGTATTTTATATGCCATTATCATGTTCCCCCTATCTCTCCTGTCCTCCAGTGTCGTCAGGTCGATTTCCCTTAACCTCTCCTCGTAAGACATACCCCTTAGCTCCGGGAGTAGTATTGTTGCAAACCTTGGCACTTTCTCTAATTTCCTTACGTGCTAGGCTAGGTGTGGGCTCCAGACTGGTGCTGCATACTCCAATACGGAATGATATTCTTAGGTTTGTTAGGCACCCGTCTGCTGCAGCAGTTATTTGGTTGATGTGCGACTCAGAAGGTGTGCCCGGTGTTATACTCGCCCCAAGGTCCTTTTCCTCGAGTGAGACTTTAGTCTCTGGCCCCCTAGACTATACTCCATCTGCAGTCTTCTTTGCCCTTCCCCAATCTTCATGATTTTGTGCTTGGTTGGGTTGAACTCCAGAAGCCAGTTTCTAAACCAGGACTGCAGCCTGGAGTTTATCTGGAGTTTACCTGGAGAGAGTTTCGGGGGTCAACGCCCCCGAGGCCCGGTCTGAGACCAGGCCTCATGGTGGATCAGGTTCTGATCAACCAGGTTGTTACTGCTGGCCGCACGCAAGTTGACGTACGAACCACAGCCCAGTTGGTCAGGTACTGACTGTGCTTGTCCAGTGCCTTCTGGAAGACAGCCAGGGGTCTATTGGTAATCCCCCTTATGTATGCTGAGAGGCAATTGAACAGTTGGGGGCCCCAGACACTTACTGTGTTGTCTCTCAGTGTACCCGTGGCGCCCCTGCTTTTCATCGGGGGAATGCTTCACCTCCTGTCGAGTCTTTTGCTTTCATAGGGAGTGATTTTGGTGTGCAGGTTTGGTGCCAATCCTTCCAGGACTTTCCAAGTGTATATTATCATGTATCTCTAACGCCTGCATTCGAGGGAATACATATTAAGGACCTTCAACTGTTCCCAGTTGTTTAGGTGCCTTATGTGTGCCGTGAAAGTTATTTGTACACTCTCCAGGTCTGCAATGTCGCCAGTCTTGAAGGGGGCCGTTAGTGTACAGCAGTATTCCAGCCTAGAGAGCACAAGCGATTTGAAGAGAATCACCATGGGCTTGGCGTCCCTAGTTTTGAAGGTTCTCATTATCCATCTTATCATTTTCCTAGCGGATGAGGTAGATACATTGTTGTGGTCTTTGAAGGCGAGATCCTCTGATATTATCACTCCCAGGTCCTTCACATTACTTTTCCGCTCTATTGTATGGTTAGAATTTGTCGTATACCTTCATACGTTTTTAATTTCTTCGAGTTTCCCATATCTGAGTAGTTGAAATTTCTCCTCGTTGAACTTCATATTATTTTGAGTGGCCCATTCGAAGATCTGATTGATGTCGGCTTGGAGTCTCGCAGTGTCTTCGATGGAGGTCACTGCCATGGTAATCCAGGTGCAGTTCTGCCTGGTCCTCGTCCGACTGAATTCTTCTCGTCAACTTAATATCATTTGCAAACAGGGACACTTCTAAGTCTATTCCTTCCGTCATGTTGTTCACATATGTCGTTCACAAATGTGTGTGTGTGTGTGTGTGTGTGTGTGTGTGTGTGTGTCAGAGAGACAGACTGTCAGACAGGCTGTCAGGGAGAATGTAAGACAGAGTGTCAAGGACATTGTTAGGGGGAGTGTCATGGATAGTGTCAGGGATACTGTCAGGTTGAATGTCAGGGATACTGTCAGGGAGACTGTTAGGAAGACTGCATGGTATTGTGTTGACTTGTCATGGGTGTTAACGCTCTCTGCAGTGTAGTGTTGTGGGTTGGTAACATATAGAATACATCAGAGTGCAAGGCGACAGGACCTGAAGATGCTGTTGAGAAGCAGCAGTCACACGGATTCGGAACACCATAGAGCAGAATAATGGGAGGGAGGGAAGGAAAGTCTGCTGGGTACTGGGCACTGCCCATGCTGCCTGCTAAACTCACCTCACTTGGAAAGTCAACACCTGACATCCCCCCTCCCCAACCTACCTTATCACCTATCTACCTACCATCCTACCAGCCTGGAGGGTGCTCCTGGGGTCACTGCCCCCCGAGGCCCGATCCTTGACCATAACTCGTATACTACATCGCGACGCGCTGCTCCTTGTGTCACCTGCTAACACTGACGTTTACAAAAATAAGTGTTATGCACTGTCTTTTGACTACAGTTGCTAACAATACCTGACGTCCAACAAGTGTGGGGGGATGTCAACATGCCACTATGTGGGAACTGAGGGAGAACTGTCACGGGAAAGATGGGGACCTGAGTCACGGAGCTCACATGGTGTTTGGACTTCAAGAAAAATATCAACAACACATGATGGAGAAGATAATTGTAAATATTAAGTGAAGCAAAGACTGTGTGTGTGTGTGTGTTTGTGTGTGTACTCATCTAATTGTGGTTGCAGGGGTCGATTCATAGCTCCTGGCCCCGCCTCTTCACTGGTCGCTACTAGGTCATTCTCTCCTTGCCCCGTGAGCCTTATCATACCTCTTCTTAAAGCTCTGTGTGTGTGTTTAACGACACGGTGGTATTGGTAGGAAAATCCAGGATATTGTGAGTTCTTGGGAAATGCTGATGCAAGAAACCTGGTGTCGGGAGAGAGCTGAAGAAACAATAAAATACCTACTTACGCAACTTCAACAATTCTCCACCATGCTGCCTGCATCTCCACCATGCTGCCTGCATCTCCACCATGCTGCCTGCATCTCCACCATGCTGCCTGCATCTCCACCATGCTGCCTGCATCTCCACCATGCTGCCTGCATCTCCACCATGCTGCCTGCATCTCCACCATGCTGCCTGCATCTCCACCATGCTGCCTGCATCTCCACCACAACAAAGCTTACTCAAGCTTCGACGTCTAAAAGCTTACTCAAGCTTCGTTAAACGGAGTTACGTCACGTGGTAATGCATTCGTTTAGACGTAATCGGAGGCCTAGAATGTAATGATAGACCGTGATGAACAAGTAACGGACGGTCGACTGGTATGTCCGTCCGTTGTTTCTCAACTTATTTGCGTACGTTAGTTGCAGGTCCGTGAAGGATGGAGGATGTGCCGGAAGCAGGGCACAGGAAGGAAGGAAGGAAGGAAGGAAGGAAGGAAGGAAGGAAGGAAGGAAGAACAAGTGCCCACAGATCTTCGTGTCTTGAATGGTGGATGTAAGAAAGAATTCAGGAAGAATCTAGCTGAAAAAAGGAGATGGCAGGAGTGCGGGGAGAGGGAGAGAGGTGGGAGGTGAGGCTGGGAGATGATGCTGGGAGGTGAGGCTGGGAGATGATGGAGGTAATTACGAGAGGTGCCTCATAGAGTGCAGGGCCACGCGAGGCTGGCCTCCCATCCTGCCATTGTTGTTATGGTGCACCATGGCCGCCCACGCCAGGGCGGCCTGCCACCCTCCATTGTGGTTACGGTCATGATGGGCCGCCCACACGACCAACCAAATGCTCCTCGCTAACCACAACAATCTCATGGGTCACGAATTCTCCTTTTTCTCTCTCCCTGTCTCGATGTTTTCAAGCATTTGAGGTAAATTACATCTCAAAGAGAGAGAGAGAGAGAGAGAGAGAGAGAGAGAGAGAGAGAGAGAGAGAGAGAGAGAGAGAGAGAGAGAGAGAGAGAGAGAGAGAGAGAGAGAGAGAGTACCACTACACTAATTATTGCAATTAAAAACTTATGCCTGTTGATTATATTGCTATTTTAATACAATTTGCCTCATAACAATAATTTATTTAGATCTAGTACACGTCCCCCTGCGCTCGTTACGCCTCACGTCAACCTCACGTCATCACTACCATGTCACGTCACGTCACCCCCGACAAAACTTCTCAAAATCGCTTTTTAAACAAATTACTCAGAAATGAGAAGAAGATTTCCACAGATCCCTAAGACAGGTATCTCACTAAGCATTTCCTCTTCCTTTCAGGTGTGAGAGTGGACGGACGGAAGAGCTGTCAGTGGACGGACGGAGGGGCTGTCAGAGGACGGACGGGTCTTATCTGTCAGCTGCCTCAGCATCCTCTCTGACACTCAGCTGCTGAGATATTTTGGGTCTTTGTGAGTCGTATGCCGCCCATGTCCATCCATCATCCAGGCTCTTGAAGGCGCCAGGAAAAGGACCCGCAGCTCATACGTACGTCGCCGAGCGTTCCTGTGCACGGCAGCATCGTACGGACTGGTACACGGCAGCATCGTACAGACCAGTACACGGCAGCATCGTACGGGCCGGTACCCGGCAGAATCGTACTCTTCAGTGCACGACAGCATCATACGGACTAGTACACGGCAGCATCCAACGGGCCGGTACACTGCAGCATCTTACGCTCCGGTAACCAGCCATCGCAAACGCCGTCGTCGACTTCCAAATCCAGCGTAACGAAACCACTGATCGATCGCCGAACAGTCCCCCCTCCTCCTCCCCTCATCCTCCCTCCCCTCCCCCCGGTCCGAAACCCTCCCTCTCCCCCCGGAAGCAGCCGCGTAGAGGCGGACCTTAAGCAGAGCTCGCTTGACCGGCTATGGAACACGTCTCACGGAGAATAAAAGGAGTTTGTCAATAGCAGTAAGCCGCTTTCCAGAGCCGTGTCGAGGGAAGGTAATAGTCCCCTATTGAAGGGAGTTACCCCCGCCTACACACACACACACACTCTCCCCCTGTCTCCCTGTCTCCCTGTCTCCCTGTCTCCCTCCCTTGCCATTGCATCACGGAAAAATCTTAACCATCGGTGTTCCGCTCATGTATACCTGTGTATGTGTGTGCTTTTTTGTATATTACTATTTCAAGTCATAACATTAGTTAAAAAATAATTGACGTGATCTTTTTTAGAGTAAAAAGGTAAATAGAAAGTTGAATTCTCACATTTGCTCGTAACCGGAAAATCAGTGTAAAAAAAAAAAAAAAGAAAGGAAGAGGAGGAATAGAAGATAATAAAGAGCCCAGTGAGCGGTGTGGTAAAGATGACGTGGACTAGAGCAGGACACAGAAAGTGGGGCATACTACCTCTGGTAGCCCTCACACTCGTGTTGGCTACCCACAACACCGCACACGGCAAAGGTAAGACACATGCAGCACCTCTGTTCTATGTAGGCTAGATTAATGGGGGTTTCAAGCTTATCTACCACACGAGGGTGACTGAGAGCGCGTGTCACTTGTACACGGTTAAATGACTAAAAGCCCCAGCTGTGACATTATCACAGGGCGAAAACCCGCGTCAGGAAACACTTGTCCTGTTTCCTGACAAACCTTACCTAACCTTACCTAACCTAACCTAACCTAACCTAACCTTACCTAACCTAACCTAACCTAACCTAACCTTACCTAACCTAACCTAACCTAACCTTACCTAACCTAACCTAACCTAACCTTACCTAACCTAACCTAAGTTAACCTAACCTAGCCTAACCTAACCTAACCTAACATAACTTAGCCTTACCTAACCTAATCTAACTTAACCTAACCTAACCTAACTTAACCTAAGCTAACCTAACCTTACCTTCCTGACAGCTGAAGCATGTTCTAGGCATATTCTCCTAAGAAAGAAGAAGAGCAGGAGTAAACTGGAGAAAGACTCTCCCTGTACAGAAGGCGACGAAGAGTCACTGAGCTCCTCAGGAGTGCTAGAATATCTGATACACGGAAGGAGGCGCTGACCAGGGAAGTGGAAACTATCGAACTTAAGTTAAATGACTCTTACAGGAACCAGGAGAGACAGGAGGAGCTTAAAGCTATTAGTGAAATTGAAAGAAATTCAAAATATTTCTTTTCATATGCCAAAAACAAGGCAAATACCACATCTAGTATCGGGCCCTTACTCAGACAGGATGGGACTTACACAGATGACAACAAGGAAATGAGTGAAATACTGAAATCCCAGTATGACTCTGTTTGGTGAGCCACTTATCGGTCTGAGGATCGATGACCCAAATGATTTCTTCATGAATGAGCCTCAAAACTCCATAAATGTATGCCAGATTTCCGACATTACCCTAACTCCGATAGATTTCGAAAAAGCCATTGACAACATGCCTATGCACTCAGCCCCGGGCCCAGACTCGTGGAACTCTGTTTTCATTAAGAACTGCAAGAAACCCCTCTCACGTGCCCTAAGTACACTATGGAGGAGGAGCTTGGACATGGGTGAAATTCCACAGTCACTTAAAACAACGGATATAGCCCCACTCCATAAAGGTGGCAGCAAAGCATTAGCTAAGAACTATAAGACCAATAGCTCTGACGTCCCATATCATAAAAAATCTTTGAAAGAGTGCTAAGAAGCAGGATTGCAAATCACCTGGATTCCCAAAATCTGCACAATCCAGGGCAACATGGGTTCAGGGCAGGTCGCTCCTGCCTCTCACAACTACTGGATCACTATGATATGGCCTTAGATGTACTGGAAGAAAATCAGAATGCAGATGTAATATACACAGACTTTGCAAAAGCGTTTGACAAATGCGATCATGGCGTAATAGCGCACAAAATACGTGCTAAAGGAATAACTGGGAAAGTGGGGAGATGGATCTTCAACTTCCTAACAAATCGAACACAAAGAGTAGTGGTCAACAGAGTTAAATCGGAGGCTGCCATAGTGAAGAGCTCTGTTCCACAAGGCACAGTACTCGCCCCCATCTTATTCCTCATCCTCATATCAGACATAGACAGAGATATACATCACAACACCGTATCATCCTTTGCGGATGATACTAGGATCTGCATGAGGCTGTCATCTGCTGAGGACGCGGTTAACCTCCAAGAAGATATCGACAAAGTTTTCCAGTGGGCAACGGTAAACAATATGATGTTCAATGAGGACAAATTCCAACTACTCCGTTATGGAAAACTGGAGGAGATAATAACAAGAACAGAGTACACTACAAACTCTGGCCATACAATAGAGAGGAAAAATAATGTAAGGGACTTGGGAGTAGTAATGTCTGAGGATCTCACTTTCAAGGATCACAACGGTGCCACGATCACAAGCTCAAAGAAAATGATAGGATGGATAATGAGAACTTTCAAAACGAGAGATGCCAAGCCAATGATGATCCTTTTCAAATCACTTGTTCTCTCTAGGCTGGAATACTGCTGTACATTAACATCTCCATTCAAAGCAGGTGAAATCGAAGATCTAGAGAGTGTACAGAGATCCTTTACTGCACGTATAAGTTCTGTCAAGCACCTTAACTACTGGGAACGCTTGGAAGCACTTGACTTGTACTCGTTGGAACGCAGGAGGGAGAGATATATCATAATCTACACTTGGAAATTCCTGGAAGGAATGGTCCCGAATCTGCACACAGAAATCACTACCTACGAAAGTAAAAGACTAGGCAGGCGATGCAAAATACCCCCAATTAAAAGTAGGGGCGTCATTGGTACACAAAGAGAAAACACCATAAGTGTCCGGGGCCCAAGACTGCTCAAAAGCCTCCCATCAAGCATTAGGGGAATTACAAATAAACCCCTGGCTGCCTTCAAGAGAGAGCTGGACAGATACCTAAAGTCAGTGCCGGATCAGCCAGGCTGTGGCTGGTACGTTGGACTGTGTGCGGCCAGAAGTAACAGCCTGGTTGATCAGGCCCTGATCCACCGGGAGGCCTGGTCGTGGACCGGGCCGCGGGGGCGTTGATCCCCGGAATAACCTCCAGGTAACCTCCAGGTAGGTAGACCTAACCTAACCTTACCTAACCTAACCTAACCTAATCTAACCTAATCTAACCTAACCTAACCTAACCTTACCTAACCTAACCTAACCTAACCTAACCTAACCAAACCTAACCAAACCTAACCTAACCTAACTTAACCTAAGATAACCTAACCTAACCTAACTTAACCTAAGATAACCTAACCTAAACCTAACCTAACCTAACTTAACCTAAGATTAACCTACTAACCTAAGATAACCTAACCTAACCTAACCTAACCTAACTTAACCTAAGATAACCTAACCTAACCTAAGATAACGTAACCTAACCTAACCTAACCTAACCTAAGATAACCTAACCTAACTTAACCTAAGATAACCTAACCTAACCTAACTTAACCTAAGATAACCTAACCTTACAATTAGTCAAGAATTGTTTGGTATATAACACAACAATTAAACTCCTGGGATATATACACTAGCAGACATACTCGTCTCGGTGTATATAACACAACAATTAAACTCCTGTGATATATACACTAGCAGACATACTCGTCTCGGTGTATATAACACAACAATTAAACTCCTGTGATATATACACTAGCAGACATACTCGTCTCGGTGTATATAACACAACAATTAAACTCCTGGGATATATACACTAGCAGACATACTCATATCGGTGTATATAACACAACAATTAAACTCCTGTGATATATACACTAGCAGACATACTCGTCTCGGTGTATATAACACAACAATTAAACTCCTGGGATATATACACTAGCAGACATACTCGTCTCGGTGTATATAACACAACAATTAAACTCCTGGGATATATACACTAGCAGACATACTCATCTCGGTGTATATAACACAACAATTAAACTCCGGGGATATATACACTAGCAGACATACTCGTTCTCGGTGTATATAACACAACAATTAAACTCCTGGGATATATACACTAGCAGACATACTCATCTCGGTGTATATAACACAACAATTAAACTCCTGGGATATATACACTAGCAGACATACTCGTCTCGGTGTATATATTGTTGTATTTCTCTACTTTATAGTTAATTACTTAGGTTTGAAGCCTATCGACTCTACGATTACGGTAACAACTGCACAAATAACCCGTATATAGAAGGGCCATTTACACTGTGACTTCGTAAATGGACCAAGTCGGACCGAAACGTCGTGATCAGTCACGGTATTGTTCCAGTCACTGTATTGTTCCAGTCACTGTATTGTTCCAGTCACTGTATTGTTCCAGTCACTGTATTGTTCCAGTCACGGTATTGTTCCAGTCACGGTATTGTTCCAGTCACTGTATTGTTCCAGTCACTGTATTGTTCCAGTCACTGTATTGTTCCAGTCACGGTATTGTTCCAGTCACGGTATTGTTCCAGTCATTGTATTGTTCCAGTGACTGTATTGTTCTAGTGACTGTATTGTTCCAGCGACTGTATTGTTCCAGTCACGGTATTGTTCCAGTCACTGTATTGTTCCAGTCACTGTATTGTTCCAGTCACTGTATTCAGTCACGGTATTGTTCCAGTCACGGTATTGTTCCAGTCACGGTATTGTTCCAGTCACGGAATTGTTCCAGTCACGGAATTGTTCCAGTCATTGTATTGTTCCAGTGACTGTATTGTTCTAGTGACTGTATTGTTCCAGTCACGGTATTGTTCCAGTCACTGTATTGTTCCAGTCAAGGCATTGTTCCAGTCACTGTATTGTTCCAGTCACGTCATTGTTCCAGTCACTGTATTGTTCCAGTCACGGCATTGTTCCAGTCACGGTATTGTTCCAGTCACTGTATTGTTCCAGTCACGATATTGTTCCAGTCACTGTATTGTTCCAGTCACTATATTGTTCCAGTCACTGTATTGTTCCAGTCACGGTATTGTTCCAGTCACTGTATTGTTCCAGTCACTATATTGTTCCAGTCACGGTATTGTTCCAGTCACTGTATTGTTCCAGTCACTGAATTGTTCCAGTCACTGTATTGTTCCAGTCACTGTGTTGTTCCAGTTACTATATTGTTCCAGTCACGGTATTGTTCCAGTCACTGTATTGTTCCAGTCACTATATTGCTCCAGTCACGGTATTGTTCCAGTCACGGTATTGTTCCAGTCGCTGTATTGTTCCAGTCACTGTATTGTTCCAATCACTGTATTGTTCCAGTCACTATTGTTCCAGTCACTGTATTGCTCCAGTCACTGTGTTGTTCCAGTCACTGTATTGTTCCAGTCACTGTATTGTTCCAGTCACTGTATTGTTCCAGTCACTATATTGTTCCAGTCACGGTATTGTTCCAGTCACTGTATTGTTCCAGTCACTGTATTGTTCCAGTCATTGTATTGTTCCAGTCACGGTATTGTTCCAGTTACGGTATTGT